AAGAGAGCCAGGCAAGGTGGCTCACGCCTTTAATCCCAGCACTCGGGAGGCAGAGGCAGGCAGATCCTTTGTGAGTTCAAGGCCTGCTTGTTCTACAGAGTGAGTTCCAGGCAGCTGAAACTCCAGGGAGACCCTGTTAAAAAAAAAAAAAAAAAAAAAAAAAAAAAAAAAAAAGTACATAACTAGTAAGTTGCGTGTGAGGCTTAAACTTATGTCACTACTGTATGTCTAGTGCCCTTTTTTAAAAATTATTATTGAGCAATGCCCATGGAGGTCAGAAGAGGCTGTCACATAGATCCCCTGGGACTGGATTTACAGACAGTTGTTAGCTGCCACGTGGGTGCTGGGATTCAAACCCAGGTTTTCTGCAAGAACAACCAGTTTTCTTAACCACTGAGCCATCTCTCCAGCCCCCGATTATTGAGCTTTTTTAATAATGTCCTTTTGTAAGAGACCAAAAGTGATCCACTCAAACCTGTCCTCATAGAAGATCAAAAGTGTGTGTACACTTAGACTGGTTATTCTGCCTTTAAAATGTTGAGCTTTATCTAACATGGCAAAGGAGTGATTCTCTTTTTTTTTTTTTTTTTTGGTCTTTTTGAGACTGGGTCTCCCTGTAGCCCCAGCTGTCCTGGAACGTACTATATAGACCAGGCTGGCCTTGAACTCACAGAGATCTGCCTGCCTCTGCCTCATGCCCGGCCTTGATTCTCTTCTTACAGTGCTCTTTCCATCTGTTGCTGTGTGGACTTAGTGACTCCACTCCCAACTTAGGGCTCTGATTGAAGGTATAGCTATTAACAGTGTCTAGGTTCATTAGAGAAAACAAATGAAATACATGAAAGTCAACTTGGTGTGAATAAAATATTTACTGCTGTTATATATAATCTGATACATATATAATGTATCCAAAGGAAAATAACATGGAATTAAAATTGCCTGGTTATTTTGTCATCATTTGTGAAGTCAGTGGCTACAGTAACAGTGAACTGTTACCTGGAAAGCCTGGAGAATGATAATTCCAGGTAATGGAATTCACACAGTGAGGTTTTTACATTCCTACTGTTTCCCTGCAGTATAAATCTTGCTCTAAATATATTTCACATTTCTTTTTTATTGGTTTTTTGTTTGTTTGTTTGTTTTTGTTTTTGAGACAGGGTCTCCCTGTAGCCCCAGCTGGCCTGGAATTTGCTATGTAGACCAGGCTGGCCTTGAACTCATAGAGATCCCCCTGGCTCTGCCTCCTGAGTGCTGGGATTAAAGCTGTGCACCGCCACACCCAGCTTTCTTATTTTAAAATAGAGCAAATGAAGTAATTCTGCTTTTCCTTTATGATTTCAGTCACTGCGGGTATCCATTGCACTTCAGGAAGTGGAAATTGGTCAAGTTTGTCACTTGTGGGAAATCCAGAAGGGGCATTGAAATTTTAGTGTGCAGTATGTCTTGGTTTTGGTTGGTTAGTAAATTTTTATCGTGTTTTTTCAGACAAAAATCTCATTATATAGCCCAGACTGACCTCAAATTCACAATCCTCCAGCTCATCTTCTTGAGTGCTGGGACACTCCTAATTTCCCGACACTACCCACTCATTGTGTCTTTTTTTTTCCCTCTCGTTTTGTTCTTGAGCCTTTTTTTTTTTTTTCGCTTTCCTTTTGCAGTTTATATCTTCAAAGCAATAACCTTACTCTCAGGAACCTAATTCATGGCCATTATTTCCTCCAGTCCAAAGTGTAACCCTGACTCTGCTGCCTTCCAAGCTGTGTGACAGGTGGTATTGCTCAGCATCTCTGACCCTCAGCTTTCTTAGCTGTGCAACAGGAATCCCAGTGATTCCTCACTCAGGTCACTGGGTTTGTTGACAAGTATCTTTGTCCACTGAACCAATTCACTGGTCCCTGACTTCCTAAGATTCCCTATGGCAATTGTTTTTGTTTGTTTGTTTTTTATTGTTTTATGCTTCAAACATCTAGACATCCTTTGAAGATGCACTTCCTGCCTTTCTTTGTAATTTGATTTGACTTTTATTATTACTTTTTTTAATGCTAAAGATTTGAAAAGATCAAAATTTATTTTTTTTAAATGCTAAAGATTTTCCTTTACTCACTGTATAGCAAGAACACAGGAACATATAAATGCCAAGTGTTGAGTCATATGGACCTAGCTTATAGAGACTTAATAAACATTTATTGACAAAATAGATGTTGTGATATTTACAAGCTTGTCAAACATACCTTCTGAGGAGAGGTATGCAGAAGGAGAGGAATTCATGTTGACATTTGCCAAGGATAATTACCATAACATTTTAAAATTTAATGCCTTGAAATTTCTACAGTAAAAATATATGCCAGGCTGTAAATCATCCTTTGCTAAACCTTTACCTGGCAAAGATCTATCTGTGCTATTTGCCATCACCTCAAGAAGAGGAAAACAGCTGTTAGTAGCCACCTGACTTCTGTTCACCATTTTATCTCAGTGCCTCTGCTAGCTGCTGCATCTCTGCTGAACGAAAGCTTCAGGAAAATGCAAAGTACTCCTCATAATTCAGTGTAGCTAGCCTCTGTGGTCATTTGTAATCCCAAACTAAGATTATTCTTTAAATTGCTATCTTCATCCATCTCATTCTTCTGGCAAGTTCTTCAAATATCAGGTAAACAGAATGGTTAGGGATTCGTAATGGAAATTCCATTCTCTACATACATTTTCCCTCCTGCAGTTTCTTGTTTTTTCTAAAAATTTCACCTAAAAGTACTGAGAGAGTCCATGCACTAGTTACCTCTGGAGGTCTGGATGCATGCAAAGTAGGCAGACTCTGCTTCCTGTGTGAGGCTTTTTTTATCTGGCCACCAGCTGCACCTTCTGCATTTTCTCCTTTTTTCCATTCCATTGGACAGAGTCTTCATTGCTTTCTTGAGGAAACTGGGTATTTGGTTTCTTTATTTTTAACATTTTATTTATTTTTATTTTATGTGTATGAGTGTATTGCCTGCATGTATGTGAGTGCACCCATGTTATGCAATGCCACAGAGGTCAGAAGAGAGCTCCCTGGAACTGGAGTTAAGGATGGTTTGTAGCCACCATGTGGGTGCTGGGAATGGAACCCAAGTCCTTTGCAAGAACAGTCAGTGCTCTTAACCGCTGAGCCATCTCTCTGGCCCCAGTGTTTGGTTTCTTTTCTCTTCCACCATTGTTGTAGTAAGCATCCTTGTACATATAGGTTTACCTCCTTATTAAAGAATGTTCCTTTCCTAAAGTTTGCTTTGGTAAGTGAAAGATCATGTGCTTATGACATTTTGATATATGTTATCAAACAACCCTCCAAAAAATTAGAACAAATTTATAAGCTTGCTACCAGTCTGTGCAAGTTCATTTTTTTTACATCTTCAGCAGCATAGTCACTAGATCTATTGATCCAGAGACCAGAAGCTGTAAATAATAAATCTCCAATTACTTCACATTATCTTTGATTTATGACTTCTACAAACAGCCTTCAAAAAAAGGTAGTTTTAATAGATTCCTTTTATTGCTTCCAAGTGAATTCAGGTATGAAAAGTGCTATCAAAACTAGGCAACCTTCTTTGCATTATTTCAGGCCTGAAAAAATATATTAAAGAAATTATGTTATTATGTATTACCAAGCACTTCTCTTCCTTAGTTCTTCAAGGTGCTGAGAAATGGAGCCTAGGACCCTGCATATGCATGCACTTAGTCACTGAGCAATACTCCTAGCCCTCTCTACATGTGGTCCCTTTTGAAATGCTTCTGGGGATTTACTGAGAAACTAACAAATTACTATGGAGATTGAACAATAATTTAAGTCATATTAAATGGGACTTTATTAATCCAAATAGACATTAATGAAATGTGAGTCTAATTATTTACTGCTTTCTTACAGGTGGATTCACCAATGAACTTGAAACATCCCCATGACTTGGTCATATTAATGAGACAAGAAACAACAGTTAACTACCTCAGAGAATTAGAGGTGAGGCAAACGGATATGTGCTAACCAGTTGAAATCGGCACCTCCCAGGAGCTTATGGTGTTCCAAGAAAAGCTAAAGCTTAAGCCCAGGTCTCCCAACTTTTGCAGGAATGTGCAATCTTTCGATAATGCCTTTTTTTTTTTTTTTTGTAGACAGAGTCTCCTCAAAAAGCAAATTATCTTGTCAAAGTGGTGTGTGTGTGTGTGTGTGTGTGTGTGTGTGTGTGTGTGTGCTAAATTTGTTCTAAGACAATGTTGTCCATGTATGCAACACATACTGAGCACTATCACTCCCCCACCTCCCTGCCTGCATCCCGCCTCAAAAAAAAAAAGTGGCTTTTGAGTAATAGAGAAACAGAGCACCCCAGTATAGGAGTATGTGTAACTCTTGACCTGACCTTGAATGGTTTCTATGGCTTTTCTTCCCCTTACCAGGTATGAAGAGGGCAGAAATCTTTGATGATACTCTTAGGAGAGTAAAATTTTGAAAAGGAAGAAAGGAGCTAGGCGTGGTAGCACACACCCATAATCCCAGGCCAGCTTGGTCTACGTAGCAAGATACTGTCCCTCCAAAAAAGAAAAGAAAAAGAGGAAAAAATGGCTTAATAAACTACAAATTATCATTTTCATTCATTGTGAAGGAGTAAAAACTAAGGTCTCACTATGATCTGTCTCATGGTTGAGGCAAGATGTTAAGTTTGTGCTTTAAAAACTTGAAACTTTAAAACCTGGAAGCTGGAAAACATGTGACTTGTTTGATAAGCAAACCAACCATTGTTTTTAGGCAATAACTTTCATCGTTCATTTCTATAAGCTGGGTTTGCTTAATACCATGCAGTTATTGGAAAAAATTAGATTTTCCCCCACAAACTGTCTCCTTAAAAGTTACAATGCTGGGCGTGGTGACGCATGCCTTTAATCCCAGCACTTAGGAGGCAGAGGCAGGTGGATCTTTATGAGTTCAAGGCCAGCCTGGCCTACATAGTGGGTTCCAGGACATCTGGGGCTACAAGGAGACCCTGTCTCAAAAAAAAGACAAGAAAAAATTTAAAAAGTTATAATGTAGGGGCTGGAGAGATGGCTCAGCGGTTAAGAACACTGACTGTTCTTGCAGAAGACCCAGGTTCAAACCTCAGCACTCACATGGCAACTAACAACTGTCCATAACTCAGTTCCAGAAGATCCGACACTCTCCTGTCCTCCGTCGGCATTTCACATGGGTACACTTACTTACATGCAGGGAATACATGCATACACATAAAATAAAATATATATATTTTTTAAAGTTACAATGTAGATTACATTCAAATTTTAAGGAAACTATAAGTTAGAATAAAAGTAAACCAAATTTGCTAAATGAGAGCTAGAATATACTGGGAATGAATAGAAGTGGTAAGTGTAAACTCAAAGTGCTTTCCAACTGTCAAGAATCATAAAGATCATCTTATTTCAGAAGGGAGGAAACAGACCTAAAGACAATGAATTGCTCAATTCTCAAAGCATGCTATGGCCAACTAGAGGCAAAAGGCACCTGTCTTGTTTTCGGGGGTTGGGGAGTTTTGTTCCTGTTCTGTGGAGATTGACCCCACAACATGCTGAACAAGCACTACTACTAAGCTGTGTCCCCAGCATAGCTCTTAACTGTTAAACCAGGTCAATAATTCATTTTCTGGTTATATGAAAGCCCTGAATTTCACTTATATAAATGACTATTAGCATATATGTCTATTTTATATATGTGTGTGTGTGTGTGTGTGTGTGTGTGAATTGAAAGGGAAACGCTTTTAACATTTGTTAACTAGCACTGCATAGGTAAATAGTATTTTTAGAATATTTATAAACCAAATGTGTCAACATTTTTAAGATAGTCTCTCACCTTGATACCACTAGTTTTATCACTTATAAATTTGGAAATGTTGATTTTTTTCCCATTAATATTAGGAATGCAACAATAGATTTATTTGTAGGGATTCATGCTTTGAAGCATGATCTGGTTTTATTTAAACATAGTATGTAGAAAAATGTCCGTGGTTCAGAAATTAGTTTTACTTTAGATGCATAGACACATTGATTGACACATTATGTATACTTACTGCTGTTGTTTTTAGTGGTATAAATAGAATTAAGTTAGATGATATGTAAGGGCCAATTCAATTAACTCATCCAATAAGTAAAAAATATTAACTCCAAGCTGGGTATGGTGGTGCATGCCTTTAATCCCAACACTTAGGAGGCAGAGGCAGGTGGCTCCCTGTGAGTTCAAAGCCAGCCTGGTCTACATAGTGAGTTCCAGACCAGCTGAGGCTACAGGGAGACCCTGTCTCAAAAAGACCAAAAAAACAAAAACAAAAATATTGACTCCACCAATTAAGTTTTGTGTGGGAGTTTATACTTACTCTTATACTCGAGAATAACATGTAAAATATAAATACAGGTGTCAAAATAAACATAGCCTGGCCTTGAAGCAATGTAAAGGTCCCTATGGAAGCTGAAGTGAAGAGGAAACACTATCCTGAAAATATAGGTAGCCACACGCTAGGGTGTCTGGAGCTCAGCTCTGCTGAGTTTAAGATACAAGTGCTGGGTAAGGTGAAGGATGGAACCAGATTTACTGCTTGAAGATGGGTGGGGAGCCAGTTTGCTCTTAAGAAGAATCTGAGAAGAAAAATAGCAGAAAGACAAAGTAAAACCTGATAAATAGAAAAGCAAACAAATCATCCAGTAGTTCAGTGGCTGCACTCTCAATTTCCTGTAATCTCAGGGTGGAATATTACATTGAGGTAGAAACTCCAAAATACCTAAATCTGGTTCTGGACTTGGGAACCGGGGAAAGCCTAGAAGCCATTGCAGAGCTGCTAGTTATGGGAGACAGTTGTAGAGTAGTTAGAACAGGGTGGTGGGGTGAAGGAACCTTGAGGGTTTTGACTGAGTAATTATAAGGATGAAGTTTAAGTTTGAGACTCCTAATAGATATCTAAGGATCGATAGTGAGTGGGAAGTTGGTTCTTCAATTATAGAATCAAGAGAAAAGTCTAGGCTGAAGATAGAAACTTGCAAGTTACTGGCAGACTCAAGGCCATGAGAGACTAGGCCAGTGTATCCACAAAATAGTGACTACTAGGTGGACTTCTTATGTATCGGAAGACTCTGGAAGAATAGCTTCAAAGTTCCAAGAGAAAGATAGCTGAACAATGCGTTCTTTAAAATACATTCCAGAATAAAGATAAGATAAAGATGTTTTCTGGCACACAGAGGATGTTTATAACCACAGCCCTCACCTAAATGAAAACTAAGAACAACGCACGGGGTGGCAGTACATAGGATGTGCAATGGTGGCTTACAAACCTTGAGAAAAAGTTGTGAATTTATGGTGTCCTAGAAGGTAAAACTAAATGCAATTAACAGTATGTAGTTGGATTGGGGCATATTCGGTGATTAGTTAAAACAGTTTACTAATTTTTATAATGTTCGGGAGAAAATAAAAGTAAATCCTATTGGAACTTTTTTTGGCAAACTTCTTAAAAACTTAAGAACATCTCCATGTTTAAGAAGTTTTACCAAATTGTCTAATTAAACCCCCAACATCAGTCATCTTTTATTACCACTAGTTTCCTTTGTCATTCCATTTCTTTCACCTGTTTAAAAGATTATTCTGAAAGTGGTCTGTAGGCTTCATGAGACTGTCAAATAAGTCTATGAACAAGAAGGTTCTTACCCTGGATCCTCATGGAGCATGAGGAAATACAGAGAATGGGGGAAGATGCTACAGGAACGTTGGAGAAAGTCAGGAGTTCCAAAAGAGTGGCAAACTCTACTGGACAAACAGCCTGATTCCTTAAATAAATCATAAAGGGAGAAAAGAAATTATGTGGTAACTGCTGGGCGGCAATAGATTCAGACACACCAACCAATCATAGTAGTGTGGACTTTGCTGGATTTTTTTTTTCTTTGTTTTGGAAATTTTCATACATTTTTGCAATGAAATACGATCATATCCACTTCTCATTTCCCCTCTCCAACTCTCCCCACATCCCTGCCAACACATGCCCCCTTCCAAATTTGTAAATTTTTTTTTTCTGGATAACCCACTAAGAACAGATAGTGCTCCCATGTGTGCATGGGTGTGGGGGCATTCACTGGAGCATAGGAAACCTACCAGTAGCCACATCCCCCCAAAAGAATGATTTTGCCTCCCCCAGAAACTGTCTACTGCCAGTAGCTCCTCAGGACAGGATGGTGCCTGGAGATCATCTACCCATCTTTGCTGAGATTTTGGCTGGTTTGGTCTTTTGCAGGTAACCACAGCTGCTATGAGTTCATGATTGCAATAACCATGTCATGTCAGAAGACAGGATTTCACAGCACTCTTCTTCATCTTCCAACTCACATTCTTTTTGCCTCCTGTGATGTTCCCTGAGCCTTGGGGATAGGGTTAATACAAATGTCCCATTTAGGGCTGAGCACTCTGTCTCTTGCTCTCAGCACTTTGACCACTTAGGTCTCTCCATTGACTGCTGTCCATTGCGAAAAGAAGCATCTCTGGCAATGATTGAGAGCATCCTGGGTCTGTCTGTGCTGGGAGCTGGGCAGAACTGGGTAGTTTGCTTCATTAGTGTCTGATTTGAGGAAACAAACTATTTCTAAAGAGAATTTTTTTTAATATTTATATTTTTTAATTTTATTTTATGTGTATGAGTATATTGCCTGCATGTATGTGAGTGCACCTGTGTCATGCAATGCTGTGGAGGTCAGAAGAGGGTTTCGGATTCCCCGGGAACTGGAGTTAAGGACTGTTCATAGCTGCCATGTGGGTGCTGGGAATAGAACCCACCAAAAGCAGTCAGTGCTCTTAACCGCTGAGCCATCTCTCCAGCCCCAAACGAACTATTTCAAAAAGAGAGGCAAAGCAATTGGGAACTTGAACATGAACTGGGTATTTAATATTAAGAGATTATTATTTTTAATATATGATAATGGTATTATAGGTTTTTGTTATTTTCTTCCCAAAGCATGCAGAAGTATTTACTGATTAAAAACTAAAATCAGAGCAGGCACTGCAGTAGAGAAATGCAATTTGTACTTTCCAAACCTGCACCTAAAGTGACAGTATAGGAAGGGGAATGTAGACGTGTTAAGGGCGAGAAAAAGGCCAGAGAGTAAAAGATCAGGGAAAAGAAAACCCCAAAATACATGGTTGAAAGAAATCCAAATAGACCAGCAGTCACAGTAAGTAAAGCAGATTGAATTTACTAATTGGAACTCAGATTGTCGGATTGAATTTCCTGCTCAGTCCATTCCAATGTTACAAATAAGAGAGAGAATAGAAAGGCAGCCTCAGAACTGTCAGTGCTGTTCTTGTGAAGGAAAGGTTCAGGCTGGGTAAAGAACAGCCAAGCAGCTTAAGCCTGTTTAAGGTCATTATTGAGGGTTCAGTAAGATGGCTCAGTGGGTAAAGTGCATCCCACAAAAACCTACACCTGAATTCAATTCCTGGAACTCCTGGTGGAAATTCTACTTGTGCATGCCAGTACTCACATATACACATCATACACAATAATAAAAGCAATTAAAAATTTTGAAATGAAAACATTTGTACTGAGACATCCCACTTAAGGTGCCCCCATTTCCCCCTTTCTCCCTTACTAATACCCTTCTCCTATGGTCCTACCTCTCTTGAGCTCCTTCTTTCCCTTTATCCCCTAGATTCCTTGTATACCCTTCCCTCCCCCCTCCCTTAAACTCACCCAATTTTTAGCCATATCTCCCTTATTAAGGCCTGCTTCCCACTGTTCTTCTCTTTCAGGTTCTTTCTTTTCCTTTACCTCCTTGGTTCCTTTCCATTATCCTTGTTCCTGTAGTTATGTCTGGATACGTACTCACTTATCAGGGTTTGGTTCTAGGATCCACATTAATTAGGGAGAATATATGTCGATTTTTTTTTCTGA